GTTACCACCCATATCGAAGATATTTAATTGGCTACAGTAATTCTTCATGGATATCGACGACCGACTTTCAATTAATCTCGGCATTTATCGAACAATTTATTATATTCTTGTTGAGCAAACTCAAAGTGTTATTTTATTTCTTATTTACGAACAAAGCGGACGTTTCGGCAGAATTCGCTATCCGCAGAGCCTGGAAAGACCAACTTGACCGAACCTACCTAATCAAACACCTCCATAACTAAACAGAAAAAACGCCAAACTAAGGTTTCAATCACGTTGGGCAGAGAATAGCTTCCTTGCACATTCATTGCTTTCTGTGAGTCTTCCACTGAAGATGACACCAACAGCACAAAGCTTACATGGAAGTGTAATGTACCTCTCACATTAAAGTAACAGTTTTAAAAACTGTTATACATCACGTGTGATTATGAGGCATTCCTCTCTGTAGTTCATTTTCGGATTCTTAGAACTTATTCAGAATGCCTTGAGAGTTTTGCACGTTTGTGTTTTCGATTACTGTGAGAGGATGGTAACTTCTACTTCAGATTCTTTCTCGTTATGGCTCTGTGTCCTATGCGCACCTAGTGGAGTAATTGGTCTAGCTTCAAGTTTACCGACTAGATGTTGTATTATAGGGATGCAGAGTGGTCTGCCCGTTTCGACTATTCATCCCCACACGGTTTACAAGAGATGAGATAAATTGTATCCGAACTCATGCTACCGCCGTTTCTACCGTTAGGGCAAATTATTCAATTTTGCGTTGCACGTAGACGGTCATACAGGCGTTTGCGAACTAGCTGACGACTTAGAGTGCTTGATGGCATTTCAGTTACTGCTACCGAATTCTCTTGACCGGCCTTTCTTAAGCAACGTTTTATAGCTGCACTTATTTCGTTTGAAATGAAGGGCAGGACAAACGAGTCCTTATTATCGCTAGGGTTATCGGTTAAGGGCTTGGGTTTTCCTTTACACCTATCCCGAGGGGCTACAGCTTCGTAACCATTAGAAATGGCTATTTGCAGCGCCAAGTTCCCGGACTCCTCCTGCTCACTTCCTGTGCATACGTTGGTTGCTGTTCGAAACATGTTTCTTACAAGCGTCCTTTTTGGTGTGTGAGAGATCGGAGGAGCATTTTACAACTTGACTTTCGGTATCACTTCGCAATGTAGCCGTTTTCGGATCGTTCAATTTGGATGTTCGGTGGTGGAAGCCAGTTTCTTTTCGGTTCCTTTCGGATAAACTTAATGTACTGCGACTGTTCATTCAATAACTCAAAACATTTGTTCATTCCTTGTTGCGCTGAGCAAACGACAAAGCAATCATCTATATATCTACAGCAGAGTAATGGCCGGAGATCGGTTACTGGTGGTTCCACCTTTGACATAATTGCGAAGTTTAAGCACTCCTTTAAAAGTGTCATCAACTGCTGAACCGTGAAGCCATACATGTTTATTTCTCCCTCACGTTGTATAAGGAGTTCTACACGGCCGGATTGGTCTGAGTCGATTTGATATCCTTGATATTACGATTCCTCGAAATTTATGACGAGAACAATGGAGCCTATTTATTTATATGATCTTATAAACTGATCATGCTGAGCTATTGCGAGGTTTTTTTAAGTTTTCGTTATGGCTGTTGTTGGTGTTGTTAATCGATGACTGACGTTTCGGCTATTTAGCCTTCCTCAGTCTTGCCTCCCACTTCCCAGTGGGAGTCCTACTCGTAAGAGCGCGAGTGGGGCTGTAACAGCATGGGTGTGAGGAAGGCGAAATCGCCGAGGCCTCATCCATCGACCAACAGAAACGACAGCGACAACAACAACAATGACGACAATGAAAACTTATACCAACCTCGCATCAGCTGAACAAAATCTGTTTATAAGATCGTATAAATAAATATATCAACTGTTTATGCCAGGATTTATAAAAACTCGGCATTTTGAATTATTAAGATAATGAGGCTTGGTTTGGTCAACCCATATGTGCCAATGTTTTCTTGTCACAGTTATTGTTTGCTGGGTGAAAAATCTTTACCATAATAGTTGAATCTACTCAAAACTAATCTTGACTTCAAGTTTCAAAAATAAAAGTGGATGGATCTCTTCATGTGTAATTTTTGTGAAGTGATAATACCAAAGCAATCGAAGTAAGACCTAGAGTGATATAGTGATTAAGTTGCGTCGTGAAGGTTACACAGCGCATGTCCTCTTTAACGACAAAGAGAGTGAGCGACAATCTAAGAAATCAACATTCGCGCTGAGAAGCAGATAATCTCGAGCAGTGGTGTCCTTGTCTGCGTTACCTTTCACATAGGCGAAACCATTTTCATTTGTTGAAGGAAGAGCGCCCTCGCCGGTATGCGGATTCGGTACACTGAAAAGCCTTCATAGCCGCGTTCCCACTCTGAAGCGGACCGGCGACAACAAAACCAGAGCGCTTTATTCGAAAAGTGCGATACAATCCGTGTCACGCAAGATTTTTGCTAAATGGGAAATGCGAGCAACAAACGCGGATAGAGACTTCGTCCTTGCCAACTGGAGTCACTGGTTCACTAACGGGACTACCTGAACAACAGTGCTACTGAAATGATCAATTATTGCTATCTTCATATGATAAAAAGCTGTTGCTTTAGGATGATCGCCGTAGAAGAACATGCAAAAACATGAGTCTTTTTCACGACATGAAATGATCACGGCGTAGGATGTGGCAATCAGAACGTTTCCTCGCTATTTCTTGCTGCATCTTGCAAGAACTTGTGGGATCAAGTAGAGTGTGTTGTTTAGCTTGCGTTATAGGTGCTTCTCTTCTTTCGGCCTTCCATGGGCACTTTTTTAGGCGCCCCAGGTCGGATTCTCAAACTTGGATAGTTCAACCATTAATACACACGATATTCACACCACGGTTACGAAATAAAGTTATAAATGCATATACAGCAAAGTGGAAAGCAAATTAGTTTATTGGGTAGAAGTAGTGCACATAAGAAATTGCACTAACGAGGATGAGCATTATGCACGAGATTTATTGGGGTGTGAAAGCGTAAATCGAAATACTGCTTATGTAACAATATTAGTATAACTACAGCAGCGTAAAAATTTGCGTGATCGCTGTGCGAGAATGTCGTAGCGGTAAAAAGGTTGTGCTAGCGATGAGAAAGGAGATTCTGCTGAATGGCAGAGTATTAAACAGGATAATTAGCACATCACGTATATACATCAAAAAGTATCGATGGATTTGCTCGCCCTGGAATTATAAGGAAATGAGTCGATGGGGTAGTGGTAACTTTTTTAGAGTACCTATACAGAGTGCAAATATTCAAGACAGTTACTAAGCTAACAAGGCGTAGCGGTTACACGTGAATTGACGATAACTTTAATATGTTGATAATGGAAGAGCGTGAAAATTAGTTATTGGCTGTTCTAGGTTAAGTAAATCAGAAGAGCTATGAAAGGAGAAGGTTAAGCAGAGAGGAAAGTGATGAGAAAAGGCGATGACGATTCTTACGTTTCGCCTGAAGGCAAGTGGCACTGCTACGGGGCGTAACTGACTTCCGAGTGGTGACAGTCGCAGGGTCGAGCCATCCTGAGATGTTGCCATCCCCGGTAGCGTGCTCGGTGCTTAAGAAGTATCAATGTAGGGTAGACACAGGGGCCTTCTGCCAACTAGCTTGACATACAACAGATTTTGTATGACAGGGACAATTATTGCAAAGACAAGTACATAATTAATACACGACTCGTTAAGATGAAAAGCAGACAATATTTTTCGTTAAATATTCTCCGCATATAAGCCTGTATTCAACATTTTGTCTCTAATTTAACAACATTAATATTGTTACTTGAATGGCCCTTCCTCACTGGTTGTGCGGTCCCTAGCATATTCTCCATTGTTCGGAGATTTGCTGGTTAAGCCATTGTGGTTCCCTGGAGTCTCCAGGTCAGCCTAATTTAGCAACATTAATCCAATAAAAGTTACAGAACTGTCAAAGGTATTCACGTTGCCGTATGCCTAATATTAGCTGAACGCCAAATTGTTCTTTTTCAAGAAAAAATGGCATTCGTATAAAGCAGAACCTTGTACTTGAAGAAAGCTTAGAAAGTGACCTATGGATTCGACCACTCATTCTTTCGCTGATATATTTATTTATATGATCGTATAAACTGATCTTTAGCTGATGCGAGGGTGGTCAAACTTTTAAATAGATGGTGGGTTAGGACGCTACGTTCAAATGCAGTTTTACGCCATATTGAACAGAAAGGCTACTCACCGTGATGTTACGAGTGAGGCTGACCAACGCATTGTTCACATGGGATCGCGTGCGAGACACACCTCTGGGTTAAAATATCATATTGAAATGGGGCGCCAGGTCACGTGTGATAGTGAGGCATTAGTCTTTCCGGTTCATCTTTAGATTTTTGAAATTTATCCAAAACGCCTCAAGAGTTTAAGTTTGATCTCCATTAATACTTTAGCTTTTTTTCCACCGAGTAATTAAAGTATTATATAAAATACGCCAGGCTCTGAGGAAGGCGAAATCGCCGAAACGTCAGCCATCGACCAACAACACCAACGACAACGAAGACCTATACCAACCTCGCATCAGCTAAAAAGACCAGATAAGATCACATAAATAAATATATCAACTATCTATGCCGAGGTTCATAGAAGGTCGGTCTTTTGAGTTATTAAGGGACATTTTTTCGTTGTTAGAAAAAAGTGTTCTTGAATGTCTGCTTTTGCAACTGCAGTTCATGTGCTAGCTGAAACCTTTGGAGTATTCAGGCAGCCTATGTATTGGAATTAGACTTCCCCTGTGCTAATTATTACCACGAATTCCACGCTGCCTTATTTTAAGACAAGCAAAGAACTCAAAACGTCTAATAAACTTCTCGCTCCTGACAATAACCTATTAGGCAGTAACAACAACCCGGTAGCAATCGTTTCTATGTTAATGAGAAACGAAACACGATCGCATTCTATGCAGACCATGGTACTTCTTACGAAATGGATCATCGTAAAAAGCGGGACATTCCCGCAACGAAGGAACCAACACTCAAGAAGCTCTTCTCCGTTGAAACAAAGAGGTGAAAACCTTGCACATTTAATAAAAGTGTTCAAGCGGGAATCGTTGTTGGCGTAGACTTCCTTTTCTTGTGCCAATGTCTGATCAACTTTGTGGAGTTCCAGTGCTGGTACGTTTAGGCCTATTTTTTTTCTGTATAAGCTACACGTCAGGGGCGGATAGCACAGTGGTAGTGCTGTCGGTCATCACGAGCATGATGCCATTATTGCGGTTTCCCATGTATGACGCCTCTTGCTAATATCTAGTCAAAGGCTCAGTTCATGCTACAAGGCATGTAAATTCTCTCTTCCTCCAGCATTAGCAGCTTGAAAACATTTCCATCTACAAAGCACAGAATAGTAGTTTGTCCATTAGTTATCGCTCGCTTGTCATGTGGACCAGGTTTACGGATATCCTCCTGAGAAATTTATCAGTGGAACATAAATGAAAGAACACAAATGAATTTCCACTTTTTCATGTAATGGACTTTTATATAACCTCTAAACCAACTGTGCTACTGAAGAATGGACGAATCGCTATTTGTATAAGTCTCACGATGGTGTTCCTTCTGCGAAGAACGACGGAACTACAGGAAATCATATTTAGCAATAAGTTCTCTAATTCGCCTGGCTAATCGGTTTGTTGAGGAAACCTTAGGGATCATCACGTATTGATGTGATGGCAACACGAATCGTTTTCACTGGACGGAATGACCACTTCTGTTACAGAAAGTGTCACAAAGTCATTTATTAAATTGAGCCGTTCTGGAAAGATCCACCAACCAGTATTGTTGGCATACAAAAATTCTTAAATGCTAGTGATATGTTTTCGATGAATGCAATGAAGTTTTTTGATTTATGATTGATTTAAACAACATACTCTTATGCATTTAAGCTCTTCGGTCCCCGGAAGTCTCGCTGCTTAAGGTGCAGTGTTGAGGGCCACACCAGGGTGGGCCATTTACTTATAGATATGTTGAAGGCTAACTAATTGTTAGTAGTGAATGGTCACGTAGCCTTCGAAAATTGTTGTACAAGCCAAATTCAGAATCTCTTGCTGATCCATAGTATTAAGATAAGCACAAATCTAAAGAAGAATAACAACCTTGTGTTTACGACTCCGATCGCAATGAAATTTCCTTTCAGTAACTGATGGATGGCGACGGTCGCAGGTTGGAGGTCGTTCTTCGGATCGCTTATCATCGGCGCAGATCGACTTTAATCTTCTCGGTGGTCAGAGCGCACAGAAACCAGAGGCCAGTGGCGGACGCACGGCCGCTCCACCTTCCTTCTGCGGACCTCCGTCGCCCTTTCGCTCCCTCTTCTCCTAACTTCGGTTATCCACACTGACCTTCTGTCCACCAGACATGATCACTGGATAGCATATCACTATCGAATCTTTATAATGGTTATAGCTGGCCTGTGTGTCACGTTATTGCTAATCGTGTTTAATCACCTTGAAACCGCGCCTCTGCATCGTGCTACGGTCACTGGCCTCCTCACGTCGATCGGTACGTCCTCTATTTGTTAAGTGTGCTTTGGTGGCCAAATAATTCTCCTTATCTTATCTTATTGTGTGATATATCACTAATAAACAGTTTTTGAACCGAAAAACTGTGCGGAATTCGTCACCGCGTAGTTCGCACCAAGCACCTTAAAGGCCTCCTGCAATGCAATGGTTCAGAACGAGACGTTTTCCGTGCTAAGCTTAGCAAGTGAATTCCTGTTTCGTTCGATCCCATTGCCTGAATCGATCTTTTTTGCGTTTTCTGGTCATGTGGTGCGACTAATTCAACCATTTTCTTAATGGAAACTTCTTAGCATATGGGGAGAATCTCTTGCTGATCCATAGTATTAAGATTTTTTACACACCGATTTTTATTCCTGGATAATGTTACAATGAATTTTCTTACCTTTCTGGCTATTCTGCTGAAGCCTCCTGCCTGTTAGTATCACAAGAACACTGCTAGCTTTCGAAGCGTTTGAAATGAATAACTTTCTCGGGTCGTCTCACTTTACAAGTTTTGTTTTGTTACTTCCTCAACAGAGCCTACTTTTCAAAGGGCAGAGACACCTTGTTGACGGTATGACTTATATTGCTACGTTCATATCTCATACTTCAATTACCTACATTTTTCCTATTGCTCCCATGAGGCTTGAGAAACTAATACGAAGGCGTTCCCTGGTGAACGCCACTACAGGCAATGAATGGAAGGGTCTAATGGAAGCTTGCTGCCTATATTCCTTTGAGTGACCTCTGGAGCTGAATCACTTCAACGTAGGTTTTCGAAAGAATGTATATATATATATATATATATATATATATATATATGAGCATATATTCGTACACACATACGTATATACACATACATACATATGTACGTATATACGTACGTATATATATGTATATATATATAGACGCATATGTGCGTCTGTGTTTGTTATATATATGCACATACATATGTATATATATACAGCATAGAGACGCGTGTGGCGCAGTAGTCGGAAACGCCATGCAATAAACATGGGATCGTTCCACGGTGCTCATGGCTCACCAAGCCTTCCATCCCTCCGAGGTCGGCAAATTGGTACCAGACTTGTCTGGAAGGCCATTAGCACTGGCACAATACATCGGTAGACCACTGCAAGTCACTGTAAAGGCCAGATATCCATTCAATCTCTTCAGCGATGCTTAATAAAGTTGACTGCATGGCGCATCCCTCAGGGATTGATCCACACCGAGAGCTTTTATTTTTTCACGCACAACATAAAGAACATATAGGGTAAAAATTATGTCTACTTATTAATCTTTATTCTAATTTGGGGTAAAATATCGGCTGACAGAAAGGCAGAACGTGGCCTGAGTGGGGCAGTGCGTGACACGTGGGCCTCAGGAATGGGTGATCGCAAGTTCGTATCGGTCTGAGATATATATATATATATGTATGTAAATATAATATATATGTAGTAAAAAGATATATGCACATAAAGTACCAAAAGTAACGTGAAATTTAGAAATTACGTGTTCTCGTCATTAACTTAGATCTGGTAGTTATTGTAATTATTATTGCAATATTTACTAGGATACTTGGATGGCCCGTTTCCACTGGTTGTGCTGGCCTCAGCACAACTTCCATTTATTACTAGTTGTACTGGTTTAGCCATTGTGGTTTCCTGGAGTCCCGAGGTCAGCCTAACCAATGTCTGCCCAGGTGGTCACCACCACAGGCAGTTGCCTGCCTTGCAGAGCATAGGGTTATTTGCCACCACACGACTAGTTTGACACCAGGGCGGTGGTGGATCCTGGTATTGCTTTACTCTTAGCTGTGCTTCCTGTCGGAAACGCCGGTCTCTTTAGTCTAGGAGACCCTGCTGGGGACATGAATCCCTTCGTTTTACATCGCTTCCCGACACTCAGGAACACCTCCCAGACATGATGAGGCAGTAAACCGTTAGGAGGTACTATTGTAATAGTAATTCTAAATGCGCAGGATCAGTTTCTAGCAGAGATAATTACTCGCGAGAGCATGGGATGTCGACTGCAGATTATTACTAAGGAAGAATTAAACTTTTGCCCACACAACTTTGCCTTTTCTTATTTTTTTAGTAAGTCGAAACCATTATTTGCTTGTGGTAATTTCTTACTAATAATGTCATAACGTGTAAAGAATTCCGATTGCCGTTAAAAATTAGTAGCAAATCGGAAGCTGAAGATGAAAGCATCAAACTGATTTGAGCTAATTCAGTGCTGTGATTTGCAGTAGATACGGTGTGATTGCAGTGAGGAAGCAAGGTCGGCCCGACGTGCTGCTGCCGACGACGTGTCCGTCAGCGTGCCAGCCGCTGTTCCGTGCCGACGAGGTTGTCGTCCCAGACGGCCCCCTCGGAGGTCGCTGCTCTTGCGTTTGTCCCCGCACGGCTCCTGTCTACCTGCACACCGCCGGACACTGCGTAGATCGTTTGGGTAGGTTCTGTAGTCCATTTGTGAAATGAAGTTTTTTGAAGCAATATTCTGAACACTCAACTCTTTCATGTGCTAACAGCTCCATAACAAATCGAGCAATATGCCACGTTTTTTCTTGGCGTCATTAATTAGTTGACTGGCTTGAAGGAGCAGTGTACTCATACTCTTTGGAACACTCCACTTCGGCGTGCTCCCTCATCTGTTACTAAGGGAACTGAGCGACTTCTAGATCGAACTTCGTGGACGAATCAGCTGTCCACTTTTTCCGACTAAGTCTCAGTACAAGATTTACCGGTCACGTCACTCCTTTTACACTTTTGAAATTGTGGAGACATTTCCCATGTAGTTGCGAGAGTCCACAAACCATGAGGCTGGCAATAATTTTCTATTATATTTTATCAAATTAAATTTAAGTAATGACAGCTTGTAATGCTGGCACTTAGATTCCGGTTTGAATTGATTTCAACTCACACGGTGCTGAAATAATGGATATTTTAGACGCCGAACCAGCATATTTCTTCATATCATGGTGAAATGTATTTCATAAAAGGCATGAGAATCTGCAGGGCTTTTCTAATAAAACATTTGTGTTCTTATTCTGCGATGATGATATTCCAACTTCATGGAGCACAAAAATCGTGTTTCCATCGTTTTCTTTTCTTTTTTTCCTTCATGGAAGCTCGAAGATCGGACGTGAAAGCAACAGAACAAGCAGGATCTCGTTCATCGGAAGCGGTGATTCCTGAACGTGTCGCCGATTTCACCGTTGCCGAGCTTGTGTTAAAACATTTAAATGTTCAGATTTCACTCTAAAGTTCTTGAAATTTGATTTTGAACAATTTTAAAAATGAAATAACATTCTTGAAAATCATATTTACTCTTCAGGTAGACCAGATTATCTTCTATAAACAACACCTTGGATTATTATGCTAAAAAGACGTTGATAAGGATGTTAATTCAACTGGCGTTTCGATGTCTCTGCCTTCGTCAGAGCCGATGAAGATGGACACGTCGAAACAATTGCGGAATAAACATCTTCATCGCTCCCACGTTAGCTTAATAATTCAAGGAGGTAGTGATTGTTAATGCTGAGGTTGAACGACAGTTGGTTTGAGCGTTATTGATTTGTCTTCTATAAGTTTATAAAATTCTGTTCCTGGTGTTCTGTATTTATCGAAGGATTAGCCGCACCCTTCGAAAAACCAGTTCCAGACTCCAAATCTTAGTGCAGCAATGAAAATCTTTTCTAGATTGCTAGGTTATAAGCTGGCTGATCGGACAATAGTGGTCTAGGATAATTTTCATTTTCTTCAAAACAGGAGCTATAAGTTTGAGATAAAACCGAGTGAGGAACACGCTGATATCCATGGAAAACATTGGAAGTCCTTTGTTCATTCATAAAAAAAATTACCGCCTCATTTTCTTCTGCAAATGAAGTCGAAAATGGAAAACGTTAGGTCATTTAAGGGCACATCATAAACTCTGAACGTATATCGACAAGTACAAGTAGGCACTGCAGAAAAAACGAGATGTGCTGAAATTGGCTTGATTTAGGTTGGAGGTCAGGAACTGTAACACTGGGAAATGAATAGGAAAATATCAAGTTGATAGAAAGGAAACTCGTATTTTTTAAAAGTGTGTGTTCTCGAATGACTGCAGGTTCGGAGTTTTACAAATATCTCAGCATCATTGTGGTTATATGTTGCGTTTAAACATTGTATTCTTTCATCTTTCGTACTTTTTCCAGACACCATTAAACTCACTTATTTGGCCCTCAGCAGTGTGATATTCATCATTTAGTCTATAGTACGAGATAACTGTAGTGGTTCGTTCCAAATCAAGCGATTTCCAGGGCATTTCTTTAAAAATCAAGCGTCGACTTTCCCATTACATCTCTCTCCCGTTTTATTTCCCAGTAAATTATCCCTTATTCCTCCTTTTTGCGATATGCTCCAGACTCTTTTGAACGATTCCTCAATGTAGTCGAGCTTTATAGGCAGGAATAGACTGATCATGAAGCCTTTGATACTGTTTAGAAATGCGCTTCTCACCTTTGAGTATTTCAGATGAATGTCGCTACAACCTGGTATTCAATTCGTCGGTCGACACTGAGCGCCTCATACCAGTAGTTTCTTTGCCTGCTAAAAACGGTGTAGTTCTCCCGAAGGTTCCCATTCTCTGGAATGGTAGGTTTTCATTGCAGTTCATACCTGTGTAAATCTATGAGAACCTGGTGACAGTAAATTTCCTTGTTCCACGGAAGAGGGAGACCTATAAGTCATTATATAGCATGAAAATGAACTTTTGATTTAGTCCTATCTACTATCTTGGCTAGAAGCATGCGTTCAGAATTCGACCTAAGTGTTTGAACCGCTTGCCCTCATAAATCATGAGGGATAAATGAATTTCTTACTTAACCGGTGCATTCCTGCTTTAGTAAGACATTTCTGTACATCTGGATAGCAGGGTTAGCCCCTCTACACGCCATATGGCAATAAACGGTTTGCAGGATAGTGTAAATATCCTTCAAAATATATTTTACCTTGAAATGCGAGCAGCCACTATTTTAAAAGAGTTTCGATTACAACTGCAAATCTCTTTGCGATCCATATAAACTGGGAAATAACCCTCGGAGATATCTGCACGTCAGGATTCTAAGGAAAAAGATCGCATCATACGAACGAAATATCAGTTAAGTAGAAAATTTGTTAAAACCAGGGTTGAGTCGTTTTAAAATTCAAATAATTGTTTATTCCAAACTATGCCTTGTCTTCCAGTTAAAATTACTGGAAAAGAATCATTGGAAAATAATTAGTTCTGGGAGCGAAATGCTTGAAAACTTCTCCTGGTAAAGCTGTGCGCGAAACGTTTTCATCGCTTCAGTTTTGTGAGGAGTGTCTTCCTTATTCACATATTTATTCACCCTATAAAAGCCCTCGAACATCCGCGCTAAGCGTTTTCATTCGTTTAAGGCCATAGAGTGATTTCAATCTATAACAGTTTCACACAATCGCGTAACGATGGGCGAAATGTTGGCATAGAAAGTCGAAACCATCCCAATGAGTTAAAGCAGGTCATGACGGAATTCCATCACTTCTAGTAAAGACAACAGACATTGTCAAACATGTTCTATTTCAAGGTAGGTTTCTTTAGTGGTATAAAAAGTCATGTTGTTTGTGAAACTTTTTTGATTTCAAGAGCTAAAAGTTGGTTCGACACATTTTTAGTAGAAGTTTAGCACGTGTGGGTGTGGACTATCACATTTCGATAATGTCTCCCGATACGATCCGTCCTACGTCTGCTGTGACCTGCTTCTTACGCTTTGACGGGTGGCCTTCAATGATCGTCTCGAATCCTATACTTGTCTCTCATTCCTCAGAAACAGCAGTTGGCCATCTGTCTAGGGCTTTTTGAATAATAAGAAAACTTGTTATAAGAATAGAGGACTGAAAACTTTCTAGTACTTATAGAGCAATCCTTAACTACTACGACGAAGGGATCTTTCAGGTTCGGGGATTACCGTATCCTCCTTGAATACGGTCGACTGTACTGTTAGCGAGGTGTTCGTCGACAATGTGGAGCACCGATGGAAAGCGGTCTCTCGACGCGCCCTGTTCGGCATCTCAACGGCGCGCGGACGGCCGACGGTGATGGTGAGTGGAACGCTGATAGCCCAATACAGGGAAAACTTTTAGATCAGTTTCTGATAAATAGATTTGTGGAAAATATTAGAAGTGGTTTCACATAAGGTACCTATTTCGTATAAAGAGAGTCGTTGATTTTGTCATTTTTGCGCTGACGCTGTGAACCATACTTATTTCCGTAGAGCTGCTTACTTTCCCTCCATTATTTGTTTACCACGTTGCCATGGATCTCTGAAATTCTAAAGGCGAAAAATTTCTTGAAGGTGTTTTTGGTGGGCGCTGAATTACTGAGAGATCATATCCTTTTGATATCGTTGTCAAAGTGCTTTGAAAAGTGATCGTCGATTAGCAATACATTCGATGAGTACTGACGGGCCTGAGACCGATGAGCCGAAATTTTCCAGCAGCAGATTTGGCACCGATTTCGTTTAGGGTGGGATTCTTTCACAAATGTCTTACTACATAAACAATCTGGTAAAAAGGAACAAGATCCAACAGTAAAAGGATAAAAATGATAATGCTCTCGGCGATGATCAATCCTTGAGATATGCGCCATGAATTCGACTTCAGCAAGCATCGTGTTGCATGCATATGTGGCATATACAATGACTAACGCGGATCTAACGATGTTTGCAGTCAGTATTTTTCTCCACTCATACAATTTTCATAACAATTTGCTGACCCTGAAGGGATGAAAGGCGCGGTGAGCCCGGGGCACGTGATCGGACCATCGATGTGTATTTCAGGGCACCGCTGACCACTACGCTATACACGTCCACCCACCATTAAGGAGAAAAATTTCAATCACAATGGTTTTCTTGATGTTTCTCAGTACTTTTTCGTGAAGCATTCCTTTTAAAAAATCGCAAACTTTCTGGGTTTCAGTTCCGAGGCTCCGATGCCGAAGTCACAATGCTTACTGGGGCCGTCATACAGCTGAAGTTGTTCTGCAACGGCTTTGCGGCTGATGAGCATTGCCTCTCTTTCCGAGTCGCCGGTGTTTCTGGTTTGTCTTTCCAGAAGATCTTACGTTAGCGATCTCTCAACGAAAAAATGAAATGCAGCTCAAAGCGATTGTTCTCACAAAAATATATTTCCTGCTAAATAACCAGATTCTTCTTGTAAAGGTGAGACTTTTTCTTCAATGCTCCAGTACTCAGAAATGACTTGGCAAAGTTACTCCAGCACCATGAGTGTAAAATTAGTTGATTACTAATTGTTGTAGAAACTACCCAGCTCCGAGAATAGTTTTGCCGATTTCATCACATTTTCATTTAACTCTAAAGTTGATGGTTTCGCAAGATTTTTCCTTGAGTCTCGCAAGAAACGCAAAGCCAGCCACTGGCCATCCACAGAGCCACTATCATTTCCACAGACACTCGTCTCTCCCTATGCATCGGGGAGAGCTTTGTCATCATTATATTGATCATTCGAATCATCCGAATATTGATTCATTTCGAATCATTATATTGATTTCGTTTCTAGACGGTAGCGATTCATAGCACTGGTTTACCTTTGGGGGAGAGCTTTTTGATGACTATATGAACTAGTTCTAGCGATATTCGGCTCTGTAGTAGTGGTGATACTTCCATGTAAATTGTGCACCTGCGAACGCCTCCACGACAAGAAAACGGGTCATTTTGGACGGTGCTACCATGTTTCAATGTTGATGAAATATGTTTTTGTGGGTTTTTCAAGTGCAATTTGCTATGTGTAATTCTTACACTCCATCCGAACGCGTCGAAGAAGGAGTTGTGGTGACAATTTGGTACTCATCCTACGAAACGATCTGAATTCTGACGAAATAATCGTCTCAGATAAGCACCATCACTATAGAAAAAATTTATTACAGACTGACCCCTGCATGAAATGCTGCGAGACGGTTTCGATTCTCATTTCTTTTTCCTGGTCTAAAATTTCCGATCCTGTGTTCGCTTTCGTTCGCCTTTCCTATTCCACCGTTGAAGTCTCCGACAACAAATTTATGATCTGCTTTATCATTGCGGATAACTTCTTCCAACTGATAGTGGAACGCATCTAGTTCGTACCCATCAGCTGCATCGGTCTGTGAATAGCAGTTGATATTTGTGATCTTCTTATGATGCGACAGTTGAAGACGGAGGACGGCTATACGAGGGGAAAGGATCTCGTATGAGTCGATCGACGCGACGGACTATGAACGGGTGGACGACAGAGTCTACGCGACCGACATTTCGTGACGGGACCTTTCCTCCACGGATCACAAGGGTCCCGTTGTTTAGTTGGCGTATGGCAGTCTTCCTGACTTTTATTCCTTGTAGTGCGATGACATGGAATTTTATGCGATTTACCGCTTCAAGAAGGGCGTGAAGACAAGCGTCTGTGAGAGTGTTCTAGCAACAGGCACAGAGTAAGGGAGCATCCACGGTGTGGGGTTCTGAGGCAAGCCTTCTGCTGATTGAACAATTGTATCCTCCCTGGAGTCTTAGCTTAACCTCGCAAGGGCGCATCCAGGCCTTCACCACCATGTGGATCCGAGAGAAGTATCTTCTCGGCAACGGATCCAACTGTCGGTCTTCCTACTGGTTGGTTCTGAAATGATTTTAAAACCGAAATCAGAAACGAAAGTAAGAATGAAAAAATAAACGATCGCTCAAGGACGATGTAGAAGTCGAACTCCGGATGAATTCTTAAAATCGAGAGTTGAAAAACAGAGAAGAGGACTACCTTGACAATCTTACTTGATACTTGATACTTGAACGGCCCGTCCTCACTGGTTGTGCGGGCTCCATCACAATCACCATTTTTCGGAGACTTGCTAGTTAAGCCATTGTGCTTTCCTAAAATCCCGAGGTCAGCCTAGTCAAAGTCTGCCCCAGGTCTTCACCACGACAGGCAGACAGGCAGTCGTAGCCCTTGTGGATCAGAGAAAGATTCGCCACCATGCGACTTTGATACTAGTACGGTGGCGGATCCTGGTATTGGTTTACTCTTAGCTAGGTTTCCTGATGGAAACGCCGGACTCTTTCTCAACATGGGAGGCCCTGCCGTTGGGACGAATCCCCCCGCTGTACATCGCAGTCCAAAACTCAGGAACACCTCCCAGCCACGATGAGGCGGTAAACCGTTGGGAGGCCCTTCCTCCTCGGAGGGCGCTGGTTCGAATCCTGCGGGTGACACCTTGACAATCGGGAATAGAAATTTCGAGGAAAGTTCTTCAATAAACAATGCGCTGCCTTCGATGAACTGGTTGTTTACAGAACTTTAAACTTTCATCTTAGCGGAACTGATAAACTTGTCGGCAATAATGTGTAGGATTTGTTCATCATTATATTGAAATGGTAATTGATAAACTTGTATTTGAGGATAATTATTGCAATTGTTTAACTTGTCGTTCAAGTTCCGCTGTCATTTTCGACAGCCTTGTGCCACAAAATGTGTAAACCTTCATGAAAAGTAACATTTAGAAGGATGCTGAGATTTGAGAAAAGCTTCGAACCATACACAGGAATTCGAATTCAGGATTACCACTACCAGTTCTCACCTGCTATGCACCTCATCAACCGAAGCCTTTGCTTTACTTTTCTCGCAGCAAGTTTTTTTACTCTCCTGGTGCTATAAGTAATCACTCCATCAATGGTAATCATCCAGAGAGCACAAATCGCCATTGAACACAATTAATCTGAAGTTGCGGTCAAAATCAAAATGTATAGCCTTTATTTGTTGCCGTTTTTTTAGGGTAGGGTATTACCTCAAATACAACCGCGCGGATCAGCATAAGAACCTGCAGTTCTGGTTTAACAGAGCTCAATGCCTATTTGCGCTCTCCAGATCATTCCCGTTGACTGGTTGGGAGAAAGATGATAAAACTGGTTGAGAGAAACGCAAAACAAGACCATTAGTTGGTGAGTATAGCACATGTGCAACAATTAAGGTAACTGCGAGTTGGAAGCCCAAATGAGTTTTCGAGTTTTGCTCGTATCTCGGCATCCCTGTGGTTGTAGTCCACATCGTTCACACTCTGCCTTGTTAAAACAGTAGACACTAAATAAAAGTTAAAACATCGTAACGTCCAGCCATTTTTCTTCAAGCTTTGTCAGGATTTTTATTTTAGGTTTTGGTACTGCTCCATAATTTTTCATAGTATTCACTTTTTGATCTTGTCAATAGAATATCCCAAAACTAGACGGTTGTTTGCTAACGGTTTTGAGAGATAAATGAGTATCACAAGCCTAACTCTAGTAATGTTCTAGTTTCAGGGGCGATTTCTCATGTCATACCATCAAACAGTTCCCGTGTAGAGTTGCTGCTTATTTTTGTGTTGTTATTCCTACTTGTTTTGTCTATTGGTGGATCGCTGATCTTGTGGCAATTGTGCTGGCGGATCAAGAAACAAAAGCTTATCTCGACCATCCAAATGCAGTTCCTTTTCCACTTACAGCAACAACAAGAAGTTCGAAAGGTAGTCGACAGCGAGTTTAAAGTCTAGCGGTAATTGAAATGTCATAATACTTACTTTACTTACTTGATACTTTAGCGGCCCGCCATCACTAATTGTGCGGGTCCCAGCATAATCACCATTTTTCGGAGGTTTGCTGATCAAGCCATTGTGGTTCTCTGGAATCCCGAGGACAGCCTACCCAAAGTCTGCCCCAGGTCGTCACCACGACAGGCAGTCGCATCCCTTGTGGATCAGAGGGAGATTTACCACCATGCGACTTTGCTATCAAGACGGTGGTGGATCCTGGTATTGGTTTACTCTTAGCGAGGCTTCCTGATGGAAACACCGGACTCTTTTCAGCTTGGTAGACCCTGTCGGGAGGACGAATCCCTTCGCTGTACATCGCAGTCCGACACCTAGGAACACTTCCCAGCCACGATAAGGCAGTAAACCGTTGGGAGGAATACTTACTTTAAGTTGACATAATAGTTAAATGAATGATTATAATGTCGGAGCATAGGGCATGAAGGTTGGTTTTGGAGATTCATGATCAGTAAATGTTTATTCTTTGGAAAGTATCTTTAGCAATGCCTTCTCATAGTCATGAAATAAGCTTAGCCCACAGAAAGGGTAATAACGAGTTCGATCCCCACCACAGGCAGTACCGAATTCTGCAAATGTCTCAACGTCATTGTGGTTATATATCATATCATACCTTGCCATGGAAAAGAATAGGCACTAAGCAAAAGTGACCACATTGTGATTTGTACTAAAGCTTCAAATTAACTGGGTTCAATGCCGATTTATGAAGCCCATATCAATCCCGTTGACAAGTGATTGCTGATAGCACCTGCACCATATTGGTCATAAAATAATCGTTTCTGTTCCAAGTTGCAGTCTGAAGAATACTTCTGTCTAGTACCTGAGTTTTCGGGTATGGAATTTCAGGTGGCTGAGACACAAGTGGCGGTGAATGACATGGGACCATGCGAATTCAAAACACTGATGGAGAGGATTCCAAAACGGCGGTTGTACTTCAGTGCTGGTGAGTCTCAGTAAAGTAAATTGGCGACTCAGTTTTTATGAAAGTCGTACCCATTGTACAGTTGAGAGTTACTTTATATGCCAGATTGACAACTGAGTAAAGTCTATAATAAGGAGATGTAGCAAGCGGAATTCGTAGGCGGTGCTCCTATGTCATTACAAATTCGGAAAAGCTGTAAGCATTTCTGTTAAAATGTTTAGCGTTTCGGTGTTTAAAATCCTTAGATAGAGAAACTTAGTATAGATACTGTAATGGTCTCTCTCCACATTCGTGAGCTTCGAGCTCTACTAGTCCCTCGTTTCATTTGGTTGTCTTGCAACCGTTATCCATCGAGTTAGTCAAATTTGTGCTTGGATTCGTATGCGGTTTGCGTATCCTTTGTTTACTCTCCTCATTGATATTCTGAGTGCCATTTGAGTCCGGCTTTCCCGGAATTCCGAAATGGCTCTAGAGTGCTCCAGCTCTGCGCCACAAGCAGTCATTAGCCTTTATAGACGGAGTCTTTTTTTGCCGAAATATTTCAAACATTTCTAGGAGACTGCAATTTATCGAGTCGTTCGAAAATTCTCTGCTTTAAGAGAAGGTTCAGCTTCTATTGATGAGGAGCTTTTCTAAGTACATGCTATCAATCTTTGAAGAATTGCCATTTACTCCTTACAAGCAATTTCAATGACTAGAATGGATAGAAGTATAGTGTAGAAACATCCTTTACCATTGCTCAATCATGTTGTCAATCGTTGTAGAATGGAAAGCTTTGGGAATGGACTGGTTTTAATTGTTTCTTTCCAACAGGTTCAGATCTATCACTTCGGATCAACATTTCTTAGTTTCATAATGGACAACTCCACTGGAAAGTTACCACACACAGAGCACCTTTTGATGCAAACGTTGCGGTTCGTAAGCCTTCACCGACTTTATTGGAGAGCAGTTGGTTTAGACCATTATTACGAAGGGCTCACTTTTTATGATCAACCATCCTTCACAAATTACTTAGATCCGGTTCCAGTGGCGTGCTGCGTAACCCGAGATTCTGTGGCCTCTCACAGGTCGTCTCACCACCGCCTGGCTTCATAGATGGAAGCATCCACGGTGTAGGGTTTTGAGGCAAGCCTTCTGCTGATTGAGCAATTGTATCCTCCCTGGAGTCCTGGCTTAACCTCGCAAGGGCTCATCCAGGCCTTCACCACCATGTGGATCCGAGAGAAGTGTCTTTTCGGCAACGGATCCAACTGTCGGTCTTCTCGATAGAGAAATACAAACACGTCTCTTGGTGAGTTTCGAACTCTCAGCTTTCACAGCGCTAACGTGAAGATGTTGAATGAGCCGATCGTATTCCTCGCCGATGTTATCGACAACGGCATCTTCCCAACAGCCCACTAATGAATTGAATAAGTCCTAGTCTATGGTGATTCTGGGATTTCGGTTTTTGAATTTAGCGGGCTTCTCTCCTTTCCGCGAGAAATAGAATCTTTCACGAACGAGGCGATGGTGTGATCCCGTGTAGAATTTTGGGAATTTACCATTTCGTTATGGTACTCTCAGTTGGGAGACCCCCACGTCCAGCGTTAAGGATGGTGCTTTTGGAATTGCGAGTTACCATGGATTGTCTTGGTCGCTATGATAACCTCAGACAGCCGCTCACCCTCTTCGTTCCATTCTAATCCGTGGGTTTTAATGTGACGTTCTTCAGACGTTCTTTTTGATCCAATCTTTGCATTGAAATCTCCAATGATGACTTTGAAGAATGTATGGTCTCTCTGTAGAACTTCTCCAAGTCCATGTAGAACGCTTTGACTTCTTCGTCATAGTTTGATGTCGGCGCGTATACGACGGAAATTGTCATTGATCTGCATCTTTTTAATCATAAACATCCGATTCGGGTTGTCAGTTGTTCGAATGAATCGATGTTCATGGACAAACTCGTGTTGACGAGAACACCAACGCAGCCAACTCCTCTACTGTCGCATGTTCCGAGGAACAGTTCTTCTCCGGTGTCATAGTCGGCGTTGAAAGGCTGGCGTCTCCTCGTCTACGCCAAGTCGATGACGTCGTACCTTATCCTTCTTGCTTGAGTGAGCAAGTCTTCTATCGAGGACTCGGATCCATGTGTACGTGCATTGTAGGTACAGATCGTCACCATAGTTCTTTGTATTCCAGGCAGCTTCCCTTGGCCCTGAGATTTTCGCAACCTCTCCGTACTCGTCCTACCCAACGCTGCGAAATTGGGGGCTCTTTCGGAGTCAGAGAAGTGAGGTCCATTTTTTTTTTACTGTGTTTAGCATTTTTGATATCCACGTGTAGCTTGCTGAGCTCTGAACGTGGGGGCTGAGTATACTCACGAGTAGCTTGTCGTTTTCCACACAGTGGTCATGGAGCTTATTTGTTCTCAGTCACTTGATTGCAGGCTTTCCGCCAAATTGACTCGTAGAATACAATCCGCGCAAACTAGAACGCACCCGCATTCACATGTATGAATACGTCTCGTAAATGCAGGAAGTTTATGTGAAATCGACGCAGTAGAAACAGTGAGTCTATGCCTTGGATCCACCTGCTTCTCAGAGAAACATGCGGTCGCTTTTGGTCCGCGATTAACCCCCTATCCGCCACCCAGGGACGCTCCACGTAGCCTCGCGACTAACCGGCTCTCGATATCACTCATATGAGAGAGATCCGTGGAAGTATAGCATCATATGGCTAAAATATTGGTTGCGGTTTCCAAGTCCACTGTGTCACAACATCAATAGTACTCAGTAGTGATTAGGCGGATGAAATTTTTAAAGAAAGTGGTATTTCTTATGATTCCGACTTTAGTGCACTACCATAAACTTAATGCTTGAGAGGCATTAATAAATTAAGCAAAACTTTCTCGATAAGCTAAACTTTTTAAACTTCGCATTGTGCTTTCAAGGAAAACATGCTGGCGCTAGTCTCTCGACTGCTATACCCGTACACTTTTTTGATACCTTTATGGTGCACTAGCCTTTTCTACGATGAAGTCGTTTATCACCTTATTAACGCAGAGAGTCCGACGTGAGCTGATTTCAGCTCACAGTGAGCTTTCCTGAATGCACCAAAAAATATAAAAACTACGTATATAATGCCGAGATATTTGCAAAACTCCGGACCGCAGGTGTATGCGGTGGGGAACGAACCCGCGCTGTTGTCCTTACCGGGAAGCAGCGCACTTCACCACCACACCGTCCGGGTCCTTCGTTTTGCCTCTCTCTCAGCTAGTTCTATCGATCTTTTTGCCATCATTGATCTTTGATTGCTGAGTTATAATCACAATCTTAACCCTTTTATTTACTGCCTTTTTTTTTAATCCCGTTGACGGATGGTTGCTGATGGCAAAAGATCGATAGGACTAGCCGAGAGACAGTCAAAACGAAGGACCCGGATGGTGAAGTACGCGGCTCCCCAGTAAGGACGACAGCGCGGGTTCGTTCTTCACCGCATACACCTGAGATCCTGGGTTTTGCAAATATCTCAGCATTATATACGAGTTATATTTCGCAACATACCCGGCCATTAAAAAGAAAAAGCCAGTAAATAAAATGGTTAAGATTATAAAAACTACGTTTTTTCCTTCAAGGTTACGTCTGTTTTGTTTTACCACGCTGCCATTCTGATTTCTTAGCCCATCAAACGTATTTTGCACAGTTTTTTTCGTCAAAGGTCGCATTTCGAAGACGACAGCGATTGCGGCAATGGAATTTCGTGCACTGAAACGCTGCGATGTCTCCAATTGCGCTTTTGATGTGGCGGGATTTCGTTCGCAATTTTAAGAGTTGAAGTATCACCTTTATTATTTTTAGAAATTTTGGCTTAAACAACTTTGAAAATCAAATAAAAATCTCAAAGGACCCTATTAAACACTTATATAGATACAGCAGTCATTTTCATAAGGCATTTAAGTGACCAACCTATCAACTTATCGAAAAATCATTAGCATTTTGCGACAAAGCGTTTTCTGATGCTGAGGGTTAATGAGGCTAACCGGTATTACTGAAAATATCCGACAATTTGTTATGTTTTGTTACAGAGTATCTGGATAAGGAAATGATGGAGAATCCTCCTCCAATGGCTGAACAGTTCCTTATCGATCTTCGCAGGGTAATCGAAATTGCCAGAGAACGAATAAGAATGCGGCGATTCGTTCCCATGCTTATAACTATCCCCGAGGACCTTGAAGAAGTACGCGACGAATCTTTTTTCTGTAAATTCAAATTGAAATCTGTTGAGATGTATTCTAGAGCCGAAGCACTGTAACTGGCGAGGACAACGCAGAGAAAGCAGTTAGCGATATGTATCAGGAATCGCCGAAAAGCGACAAGTCGGTTGACAGCGGCCGAGAATCACGATCGGACTCGGATGACTCGAGTCGAGACGAAGAAGAAGAGAAGACGAAGAACTGGCCGGACGTGCACACTCAACCTGACCGAATCCACAATGTCAGCAGCGTCGTTAACGGTAGTGGTTGCCAATTTTTGCAGGGTTATTGTTCGCACGACGTGTAATATGAGCAAAACAACACGTCATTGGTCCTTTCATAATCACTATGCACACTGCCGCACCTTTTGGCAAAGACGGACAATTTTGAACCGTTACGATGAAAAACTGGCTGCGAGGAAAACAAAGCAAGGAGCTCGGTCAGCTCGCAGTAGATAACACTTGAGTCTCGGGGGTGGGGTAATCGCTAGTTCAAAGCGCATCTGAGGTTCGTAGCTTTGCTCATATTTCAGCATGCTTGTGTTGTATTTCGCATAGTGCGCTGCCATGAAAAAAAGAATAGGCACTGAATGGAAGTTGAAACATTATGAAAATAATGGTTTCTTTTTCTTATAGCATGGAATTCAGATTTTCTGGAAGTGGCAAAGTTATCAAAAGAAATTTTTGCAACGGTTTAGTTAACAGAGATTATCTAAGATAGTAGTTGTCGCGATACTTGGAGAAGTTGGTTAGCAAAAGGTTCAGTGAGTTCTGTGGGTGAGTGAGAGTTCCCCTGATTTAACGCAATTTCTGCAGCCGTAGTTGTACAACATACGTTAGAGTGTTATCGTCAAAGAAGAACGCACTTTTCCTTCGAACTATTCTGGATGGTAAAAGGACAAAACTGGATAGTGCACTGCAGTTTTTCCGAATTTCATTGGTTTCAGTACAGTACTTCTCAACTGCGATCATTTCTCCAAGACAGGCGGGATATATTCCATGGTCCTACTTCCCTTCCTCCGTTATTTATTCATCTTCCGAAAACAAAAACTTATCATAGCCATCTTTTGATAGAATGTGGGGCTTGGAATGTGCCTGCAGGTTTCAGCTCGGTTCAACTACTAACAGAAAACGGTTGGTTATCGTAGGGAATTCAGGTAAACCATAATGTGACCGAGAAATTGACTGTTTTTTGTATAAAAGCACCACAGAACAGACTTCTTGAGTACGATCACCCCGCCATTCGTGCAATTTGTGCATCATCCGTTTACCGAGTTTTTTCAATCTTCTACTTTCTCACAGATTAGCGGCATTGTGTTATGGAAAACGCTGTGTTTTACTACAATTCTGAGGTAGTTTTAGGAGAGTCGGCATGGATCATCGGCTTAACATGGTCGTCATTAACTGCCGATGGTGGCTCTCGACCTTGTTTATCGCGAAGACTCATGTACTTCTGAACGGAACTCTTCGACGTATTTTTGTCCTGGGCATTTAGAATGAATTCACTGGTCTGTAGTCGGAGGGGCATCCAGTCGGGTTTTTTCACTAAAACTTGCTGAATAGTGGTTGGACGATCGCAGCGCAAATGCACGGTCTCGAAACCGATGAAATCCATGGGGAATCGCTGGTTATTTGTCCAGTATCGGTCAATTTAAAAAGTTAAACTGTCTAATAGGACAACTCGCCATCACGCGGTGAACAAATAACACTGTGGAAGTTAAATCCATGGGGCCATAAAGCCCTATCTTGTCCAGCCTATCCATTGGTCTTCTCGCGAATGCAATACACTTTCTAAACAGCTGGACAATCAGCTGGTGATGAAATGTTTAACAGATAATCCATTGCTGAAAATCCGGGGCTAAGGATATTGCCACACCAGGATAAATAAGTTGTCTTTATTTGGCAAAAAATGTGTAGATTCTAATAATTCTCATTTTGATTCAGGACTGTGCATGGGCTGAATTGAAATATTTTAAAGTTTTCTCTCAAACCAACTGCCTCCCCCCCACACTGTGTTTGCATACATAAAATCATTCATAATTTGTATAAGTGAACTGAACTGACAAAAAGTGCACTTCTCGTAGAAACTACAAAGAGTCCAAATAGAATACTTTTTTTTAGAGTGTAATTTAATGCGTTAAAACACGAACGAATTCAATTCTAAGCAGTCATCTTGGTTGTCTATGTAGTGACTGTATCGCCTGATTCGATTAGAATCGGCTATATTTTGAGAATTATGTTCTGAATACAACCACAATGATGCTTAGATATTTGAAAAACTCTGGACCGCAGGTGTTTGCGTTGGGGAACGAACGCGCTATTACCCTTTCCCGAGCTAACGCGTTCACCACCACACCGTGCGAATCCTTCGTTTCGCCTGTCTCTCAGCTAGTTTTCTATCGATCAGTGCCATCAGCAATCAACCGTCAACGGGATTGATTTGGGGAGCACAATTCAGCATTGAACCCAGTTAAGCTGAGTCTGTAGTTGAAATCACGATTTCACAAGTTGTGATTTCTGTCTTTCGAGAAGTAGGTGCAGCTCCCTATCAGTAATTTGAAACTAAAATTTTCCACACAATTTATGATTGAATCTTTGCTCAATTTGTTTCTGTTAAGGTGCCTGCTTAAAGGTCCCAAGGCCAAGAATACACGAAAAAGTGACATTAACCTTCAAAACTGTAAAGGATGAAATTAATTCCAGGTTTCGAATCACAATCAGCAATGCGGACTGCTACACAACAGCAACAGTCCAATCGACCACTCCCAAAAACACCAGCTGCAGTAGCTAAAACACAGTCATCCGCCTCGAAGATCCCAACACTACTTGGACGGAGCAGCCCACGACCACTAAAGAAGTCTTTGGCATTGTTGCACCCACCACCGCTGCCAAAGACTCCACCGCCACGGACCCCTACCCAGTGCAGGTAGAAGATATTTGCTTTGTTCTGCATTTGTAATTTTGGAGAGCTGATCTATTGTAAATTAACGGCGATATATTATATTCCTGTCTATCAAACTTTTTTTCGCACAAAAATTCCTAATGATTTCGCTCGATAATCTCAGGAGGGAAATTGCCGTGTTATCACCCTGTCGTCCTTGTGGAACTAGCCAAAGTCTTTCCAAGGAAATCATATGGGCACAGAGGACGACATTTTATCGAAACAGACAGTTAATATCCAAGAAAGTTTGAAATGAGTCTTTTCAGAGAACGAAGAGGCTACGCAGTTTTCCCAGCTGACCCAATGCTGAATAAATCGTTGCCAAGGCGAAAGAGGACGACGCCACGATTAGTGGAGGGTACAGCAGCCTCTAGCTGAAGACATCTTTTTACTGTCACTGACGTCGCTAAACAATTTTTAAATGGTTTTCTTTTCTCTCCAGTGGCTTATACATAAAAGATTCTACAGGTTATAGTTCATCAAACTTTCTTACTTTTTAGTTGTACCAGATTTCAATCATGAGTGGTTTGCTTTTAAGAGTTAACCAAACCGTTGATTCGGACCCATGTTTTTTTCTTCCTACAAACAAACTCTTGAATACTACTTGAATATATATATATATATATATATATATATGTGCCTGAACATACTATTTCAATACATATTGAACACCTCATTTGATCTCCTGTATGTATGTATATGTGCCTATGCAATCTGTATGCGTATATATGCATGTTCCATTTTCGTGTCATTCTAGCCTTTTCTTCGCAGAATTTTCCAAAGAACAAAGACGGGTTATTTGTAGCACTTTCTATTCAATAAAGAATAAAACGATATCACTGATAAGATTTTCACTTGGGTGAGGGTCTGACTTTTTTACATCCTTCCTCATTGTCCTCTTCGAGAAGAATTCCAGCGAATTCTTCAAAGATCTCTGTTTTCGGAGTAACTGTTGATTGGAAATACGGTTTTCCATCTGAAATGAACTAGGAAACGATTTAAGAACGGAAGCAATTGAATGATTTCCATTGATTCAGCAGATTCAAGTCAACTGAAAGCATTGCTGAATGCATAGCGTAAGCTTTTCGGTAGAAACGATCGCAGCAGATGCAATGAGTGTTAGACATCGGACGGAATCTCAAATGCATTGTATGGTAACTGAATCGAAACCTGACCAACCGAAAGCAATTTATGCTCTATGACCTGAAGATGTTGGCTAGTCCATCCGCTTTGTTCAAAGTTATCCCAGTCACTATGTGAGCTTCTATAAAAGTCATACTTGCTTAAATCGGGACTGAGAAAACCTAGTGCTCAAAAGCTCGAACATCCGTAACTTATAGTGGTCACATCAAGCACTTTGTTATTCGACCCCAGTGTACAATGGTCGCCCATCTAGCACCCTAGCTTTCCTGCGGCGAAGGTGGGGCTGCTGTGATTTCCCTTGGTTTTCCAGATTTTTCAGTTCATAACGCTACTTTTAATTTATTACGGGCTACATTCATATGCTATTTAAGTGGACAAAAATAGACCGGATGCTATAATATTTTAAATACAATACCAGTGAGTGAGCTTAATAAACCTATAGAGAATCAGAAGACGAGGCTTAAACTCACCGTCTCCAATAACAATTTCTACTTGGGTTGTTGGATCGATAAGGATCGTCCTGGGCAACGACTCTAAATAGAACCCGAGTCGAGCACGAACTTAAAATTAATGAATGCAAGCACATAAGCACAGTGAGAGCTGATCAATGAAGAAGAAGCACGTGCTTCGAACTGATGTAGAACTGCACGAACATGACGCCACTGCATTCATGGACTAATGATCGAGAAACTTTTCGAGAATATTCGAATGAGAAAGACATCACGAAGGATTGAATGACACCTTGTTCAAGAGCCCCAATAATCAACGCTTTAACGCCCGCCCTGACCAAGCTATCTTACTGGTATCTAAGTGGAATATTTGGATTGCATGTGATTGGAAGAGCATAAATTTCTAGTGTTTTCATTGCCTGTTGAATGTACAACAAAACTCAGCAAATATTTGAATACAAAGCCTTGTGTGATTGATATATCGATTCTTATTTGAATCATTTGGGTTCCTCAAAGATTTCGGTATTTACATGAACAAGATATTTTGACAACGAACCCACTTCTTCTCTCACGGATCGCCTCGACGTGCGCCTCAAGTGTCGGTGGGTCGCAAGGGCTATCATCGTTACCGGAATGTCCGACGCTGCTGCTGTATCTCCTTCCTATGAAAGCAGAAGATCAAAAGTTTAGTTAATACTGAGAGAGAGTCCGATTTGAATAAAATAAAAAGCCTATCTAGTTTTTTGGCGGAAAGAGCAAATAACAGGAGGGGAAGGTGCATAGTAATGGGAAGTTGAGGGCAAACGAGAGTGCTCTGGTATTTTCTGATAACTTGAAAAACCTTTGACCCAGTTTTTTCCAATGTCTTATATTTAGTTTTCAGGCGATGTATTTACAGGTTTTTATAATCTCAAAGAATTGAAAAAAATTCTAGAAACCTACTTCCTTCATTGGTGGTTTTGTTTTTAGATTTTCCTTGCTTTTCAGCAGCTCCTTCGTCTCCTACTCTTCTCTTTATGGCCTTCTCCTCACCATTCCGACAACCGTTGTTATCTCTGGCGAAGCAATTCTCTATCGCTTTTTCTGCGAGTCGTCCAGTTGGCTCTTTTTTCGATTTTTTCCCTTCTATTCCTACATCTGCCAACTTTGTTGGAAGTCGCGTGTTACTTATTGTTGCCGTCTTCGTCTTCTTCTCTTCTACAGCTCTTATAGCGTTCCTCATGTGCCTGCTGTCATCTTTCTTGGCTAAAAGTTTTTTGAGTCAATTAGTTATATCGTAATTATCGTTACTCTCTTTTTGCTGTTCGTTTTCTTTTCGTACGAAACTTACACAACCGCCTGTCGTACAACGTTACTCTGTAATCATTGCACTGATAGTAATCTTATTTTTCTTGTGCATGTTGTAATAATAATTTTTTGAATGGCATACTCGGATAGCGCTGAACATTAACATGCTATAGGAGCAAGAAAGTGTTAACGAACGCACAGTTCGACGTTGGTTTTAAAAAAATTCGTCGCAACGAGTTCGACGCTCAAGGCTGGGGAGGTGACGATGAATTGGTGACTTTCCCGTAGGGTAAGCATCTCAATTGTTGTGGAACACTCAAAAACATCAGAACTTTGAAGAACCTCACCGAGTGAATTTCGCGCAATTTGAATGAAAATCAAGAAAAAAACCGCCGTTTTGAACTACTGTCGGTGCTCCTTCAGCGCTTCCCAATGACTGGTTTCTTGACCATCTTTCGACGACGTGCGACGAAGAACAAATCCTTTATGATAGTCGATTATTTGGTGGTCCACAGCTGATTTGATCCGCCATGCATTCCTGAATCTGGGTGGAATAATTATCGGATGACTACTCCCGGCTTACCGTAGCAGATGCACCAGAAGCGTCAACGGCTGTGTCCCGCACTGGTAAAGACAAAGTGACCAATCCTTCTCAATGGCAATGCATAGTACTGAAGTTGAACGAATTGGGCTACGAAACACCTTTTCATCCACCATATTCATCAGAGCTTTTCATCAGAGCCTACCGACTACTAGTTCTTCAAGCATCTCGATAACCTTCTATGCGAGAAATGCTGCTGAAACGAAGTTGAGGTCGAAACTGTCTTCAGTGACTTCATTGTCTCCAGAAGTCTAGCACATTATGCAACTGGTCTTTTCGTTAGCAAAACTGTGTAGATTTTAATGGTTTCGATTTCGACTAACAAAGTATATTCGAGGTTGAATTGTGCCACATTAAAAATACGGCTTTAACTTCCTCACTAATTTTCGAAGAACATACAAATATACAAATAATGTTGAAAGTAAATGCCTACACGGTGGACATATTTCCAAATTCTTCCGTGGAGATCCTAACGAGTGAACAAAATGATTAGTTTCCCAAATTTTATGCGAGAAATCGTTGGAAAAGACAAACACTAGTACCGTATTTGGCCAAAAATGGACAGCATTTAGGCGCTGGAAACATACCTGAAGACATTTCCTCGGCTGGCTACAGATGGCGGCTGCCCCTTGTTTTCGCGCTCAATTTATAAGACTGTTTTGTTGCCATGGAAATCTTATTAACTGCAAATCCTTTCGCGCTTCCCTTACTAAAAGGAGGAACTTGCCACTGGGTTGTCACGATTGAGCAAAGAGTACTCTCTTTTACTGGTTTGAAGAACTGTGTATTCAACGAGAGGAACCTCTCACTGCTAAAAGCACAGCTCAGAGTTAATAACACTTCAGTTAACCTTTGGTCAGTAATCTAGTGATTCAAAAACCTCGAACATGGACATAGATAAATATCAGCAAGGCTAAAACATTGGAATCCGAAACCTCTTTAGCATCGTCTAAAACAACGAGGGTGTTCCGAAAAAAAAACGAACAACTATACGTTATCCAGAATACGCGGTATCTATAGTTTTGAAGAAAATCCAGAACTGAGAATTCTCAACATTCCCAGAAGGTAGCACCCCTGTACATACATTAAGTACTTTGTTCTTCCTTGCTACGACTTATGTTCTTTCCGTAAGAGTAACGCACTGCACTTTAAAACTTCTAAGGATTAGCGCCGCAGATGGATCGATGGCAATAAGTCTTTCTTCGTCGTAATTGCATTTCTTCTCACTCTCATGTCAATCCTCACTCATTTAGCAGTTGTTTTTTTTCTTGAAGGATAAAAAAGTTAGTTTCTCGTAGTGGATCTGTTTTTTTTTTTGGAAAAAGGAAAAGATTGCTTGTGCAATTTTCCAGAAATTGTAGATACTGCTGAATTTTGTTCACAGCGTAGTAGGTGAATGAGTCAGAAGAACAGTGAAAAAAATTGCACACATCCTTTTTTCCTTTTTTGGTAAAGGTTCTGTTGCGGCTACAAGTTTTAAGTGGCGCAGGGCGATGACACGACAGTGCGCGACACTGAACGATACCTCAGACCTCTGGGCCAAGGAAGCTTTCCCGCTTTCCGAATGGAATATGGGAAATGATGAAGGATCGACGAAAAAGAAGCATTGCTGTTGAGATCCAAATCCATTTACGTTTCTCCAAAATAAAGCAGAATTGTAAAAGAAAAAAATGGAAGGCTTTCAGTTTTCGGGAACACAAGCTGAATTATCACTGGTGAGTCGACGCTTATCCAAAGAGTAGACCTTGTTCTGAAGGCTCTTTTCGTCCGTTTAAGCTAAATTAAGCATATCGATAATATCCTTTCCATGGATGTTACCGATGCCTTGTCTCTTGGTATGATGTCGATGAAGGAGAATTCACAGAAGTTTTTCGAAAAGTTTTCGATAAGTAAAGAAATCCAATATACTGTGCATGTAAACACCTTGGTTTTGATTTGTCTCGTAGCCTCGTAAATTCTTCATTAATGTGAGCTGAAAGCTCAGTCGGCGCAGGATTTATAATATGCACCAGTGAGCTGAAGAAGTTGTGTTGCCCCTGATAGTTGGGGCAACACTAAGCATGTTACTTCTACTACTTATTAGGGTGGGAGTAGAGAAGAAGAATTTGTGACCTCTGTGAGAACCGGACTAAACGACCAGGTTAAGGATATCTTCTGCTCTTTTACATCGGCCCCTTTCCCTTTCCGCCTTCAGATTTTTTAACCGATTAAGATAATGCGACTACGAGAGAAAATCGCTTCACCATCCCTAAATTAGTAATTTTTTTTGAGAAATTCTTCGGACGTAATAGATTCGTAAACATTGAGTAAGTGAAAGGGCGCGTGTTGCGCAGTGGTTGGAGACACCACTGCAATACACACGTGGAATCGATCCCCGTGCCCACCGACCACCAAGCCTTCCATCTCTCCGCGGTTGATAAATTGATACCAGACTTGTCTAGGAGGATAGCAGCATTGGTTCGATACATGGGCAGACCATCGCGAGTTATTGTAAAGGCCAGATATGCCTTCAATCACCTCCACCGATACTTAATAAAGTCGAATGCATGGCGCTTCCCTCAGGGATTGATCAGCGCCGAGGGCTTCATCCTTTATCCCTATAAGTAAGTGAAAAAAAACTGCTCATAAGAAGTGGTCACGGATCGATAGTTTTATACCAATATTAACCTCAGTCGGTGCTTCTTATTTATTTTTCATGTGGGCCCGTTCTAAATGCCTGTTTATTATCTCAGCGCAATTCTGTCAGTATCCAATAGTTAGATGGTTTCGACCTATCAACTTATCCACCCTCTCCTCCTCCTCCCTTTCCACTTTCAACTTTGAGGAAATGAGTAGAAGATTTTCGGTATATGTATAGAAAAATGCTCTAGGCACCCTAACAGTGTTACACATGCTCTGCACTTCCTCATATTAACCTCTGATGAAACTTTTCCATAGCGGACACTTTTAAAATTCAGTTTGAAACGTTCTGAAAAAATTCCGATTTTCCATCTTTTTTTCTGAAAGTCCTGTGTTCCAGTCCCTCTAAAATCACACATGTAACTGGCAGGTATATCCTTGACTAATTTAGAATCCAGAGCCGTTCAGTGGGCATCTCCATGCATACGACGCATATACCTCGTAATCGTTATTACCTCATTCGCCAGAGTACTGGTTTTTCGATGTCTAGCAATAATTTCACGATAAATGCTGCACTATTTGCGTGCCCGGGGAATTAGCAAACATCTAGGGCAATCGCTATTATTGGTTTTAGGGCATACGTGGTTTTTATAAAATCGATTTTTCGTTGTAAAGTTTAAGAAGCAAAAGGCAGTGCTGAACTTCCAAGTATCAGAGGCTTCTTGAGCAAAGTATTGCGGGAGAAAACACCAGCGATTCATTGCCGAGCGCCATCTTTTTCTGCTGGATATTTAATCTGGTGCTTCTCCAATCTTTTCCCTCTTCGAAACACTCATCCCAAGAAGGATGACCAAACAGAAGGAAATGCTTTTTTATTGTGTTCAATAATTATAATTCCTTCTTAATTCTTAATAGCATACAAATATTTTTCAATTCTTAATAGCATACAAATAATAGACGTTGTTGGAGAAAATCTACGTTTTCTAATGGTGTCCCTTTCAACTAATGAAGCTCATTATAAGCTGAGACACGTTCGTCTAAGAGAATAGATTATTTTCGACCACTTATGGGTCCAGCATCAATTCATATCGTCCATCATATGATGCTCACTCCTTCGTCAGCAAGCATGGCATTTCATTACAAGGCTGAGGTCAAGAATTGGTTACGTTTCGCGTTCCTCATTCTTTCTGAGTTTCAATCATTGAGATTCACTCCACGCCATTTATTCCTTGCCCTAAAAGGTCCATCATCTATTTTTCTAGCAAATGTTTTTCCGTTGAGAAAAACACCCGGAGTATTAGCGACTTAAGATAAAACGAACTTAAACTATATACAGGTCGTTCAATTGAACAGAATATACATCGAAAGAGGTGTTCTCTAATAACTACTTGGATAGGCTAAAACGAAAACGCTCTATTGCGACGTTGTATTCATCATCCTATGATCTAGAGAAGCTTAACAGAGTTCGGTTGTAAATTCGGAGACCGAAAGAAGACATCAGCAATAAATGTGTGTATTCGCTACACGGTCGACCGAAGTTATACCATTTTGACAATACTGAGTTTTTTAGTCTCTTAAAAGGCGCTCTGTATTCGCCTTGATTGCTCAGGAGAAATGTGGAGATTTGTTTGTTTCAGGTTCGAGCAAGGGCTATTCTACCACTTTTTAAATATAAGAATTTCCTTCACTCAAACAAAAATATTCACCAATATTTA